CACACACACACACACACACACACACTCTCACACACACACACACACACACACACTCTCTCTCTCACACACACACACACATATGATTTAAACTTTTCCGATGTGTCTGTGCGTATTTGCAGTGAATTTCTGTATTTGGTTGTGTCGAGAGTATTTGCAGTGCATGTGTTTTGTTTCTTAATTTGCATGTGTTTTTTCATCTGCACTGCGTAGATAACTATCATTTATGTGACCTTTAATATGATTAAAAGTGCTGTTCAAATGCATGTAAAATTAATAAAATAATGTTGACATCGGTCCTGTGTGACACTGATAGAGGCACTGAGGAAACTCAACCTACAAACTGCCAAAGCCTCGCATCGTTAAAGACATGGTGCATATGATCGATGTCTTCCTCTGCTGATTCTCATGCAGACCGGACAGACTGCTGCTCTCTGAGTGTTTGTGATGGACGGTGGTTGTGTGGCGTAGCAGCAGGTATCACACCTTCGACTCTTTCAGTCATTATTGGCAGTTTCCTCCCACACGCACTCATTATTCAGTGTGATCCTCGCTATTGTCCCCATCATCAGCTGATGGTCCTGCAGTCCAGCACAGACGCAGCTCGCAGCTAATACATGATTAAAGATATCAGCGGTCTCTGAAGGACAGGGAGGTGTCTGCTGTCTTTATGACTCAGAACAACACTTTTGTTTGAAGAGAATAATGTATCGTGAGCTTCGGGGAACCCTGGCCCATCTCTGATATTGAGTAGGCTGTCAGAAAACATGCTGTGATTCATTAAAACCTTAAGTTTACAATTTTTCTTAATTGTTACAAAATGTATATCAGTGGCAAGAAAATGCATTTGCAGTCTTACAGTAGCCTACATTTGTGTTATATGTTCACATGTGTTACAGACTGGTTTTTCTTCAAATGTGAAATGTTCTGTTATTTTAGTATCGAGATAATGTTATATTTTTGTTAATATTTTGAATTAGATTTTATTTTTATATTTTCCACTTTCATGTTAATTTTAGTTTTTTTCCCCCCAATTGTTTTTAATATGTATAGTTTATAAGTTTTATAACTGTATAAGTTATCATT